AAAAAAAAAAAAAAAAAAATTCAAAATAAATTATGCATCTCAGACTAGATGAAATGCATGTAGCACAAGAATTCTTTTAAAAATTCTGAGTGAATAAAATGTAGGACATTCCCTTCCTGTTTCAACGGCTGTTGGACATAGCCACACACAGAGTCTTTCCCAATAAAATGACATTATTCTTTCAGAAAAAATTGAACATTTCATGATGTATCTGAAAATAACCTTATTGGTTCTTTTATATCCACAAAAGATAATGGGATCAGTACCTTTTGATGGCATTCAATTTGCAATATCTTCAGAGTTATTTTTTATTTTTGCTGTTCAAATCTCATGTTTGTCTTGCTGTGCAAGAAAGTGAGGCTTGTAAGTGTGAGCTATATTATTCTAAGAGGAATTTGCTAAATTAAAATTTTAAATATATATTATCCAGTTGGCCTTTTATGTCCATGGTTTATTTTTTCGTTGGTTTTTTTTTTTTTTTTTTTTTTGTGCAGTTTTGGCCAGGGCTGGCTGGGCTTGAACCCACCACCCCCAGTATATGGGGCCAGCACCCTACTCCTTGAGCTACAGGCGCTGCCCTGTCCATGGGTTCTTTATCCTCAGATTAAACCAACCAGGGATTAAAGATATTTGGGGAAAAAACACAATAAGAAATAATACAACAATGAAAAATGCAAATTCTAAGATATAATACAACAACTGTTTATATAGCATTTACACTGTATTAGACATTGTAAGTAATCTAGAGATGATTTAAAGTATACGAGGGGATGTGTGTAGATTATATCCAAATACCATGTAGTTCTATAGGAGACTTGAGCACCTTTAGATTTTGGTATCCATAGGAGGTCTTGGTCCTGGAACCAGTCCCCTGTGGCTACTGAAGGACAACTAACTGTATAGATACTTCTCAAATTATGACAGGGTTATGTCCTGATAAGCCCTTCATAAGTTCAAAGACCATAGGCAGAAATCTTAAGTCCCTTGGCTGGTCAACTTACTGTATTAAGTTGTGACCATCTGCATATTAAAAGTTATATAACATTAAAATAGATATGTATTATTAGTTGAGGAAATATAATATTACAGAGTGAGTTTGGGAAAATGGTAATACTTTAATACAGTAGAACCTCCATAGTTGACCATCTCCCTGCACTGACCACCTCCCTAAGTTGACCCAATTTTCATAGACTCGACAGGCACCACATGTCTCTATCAGTACGGTAGGCCTAGTTCCTATGTTGACCACCTCCACATGTTGACCAGTTTGTTACAGTCCCTTGGATGGTCAACTTACTGTATTTGTAAAATTTTTTTTTTTTTTTTTAAAGCACATAGTCTCACTTTATTGCCCTTGGGAGAGTGCCGCGGTGTCACAGCTCAGAGCAACCTCCAACTCCTGGGTTTAGGCCATTCTCTTGCCTCAGCCTCCCAAGTTGCTGGGACTACAGGAGCTCCCCACAACACCCAGCTATTTTTTTGTTGCAATTTGGCCAGGGCTGGGTTTGAACCCGCCACCCTCGATATATGGGGCCGGCTCCCTACTCACTGAGCCATAGGCACCGCCTTGTATTTGTAAAACTTTGTCAGACTGTCGATTAAATCACTGGATTTACATGTTGGTAATTATTCTCTTACAAATTAATTTTGTACTTTGATAGGTTTTAATGCTCTTCTTTCCTCTATAATTCTTTTTTTTGTGTGCTTTAATAATCTCATATGTCCCTATTTTTTTCCAGATTACTATCTTGGATGCAAAACGGAGCATGAACATTGGGATATTTCTTAAACAATTCAAGAAGTAAGATTTTTGCACACTTTCGAAACTTTAGTCATATCCATGCTGTCAGTAGCAAAGTCTGTGGGTATGCCAACCTAAAATTCAAATTGTAATGTGAGTGAAAATCATTCCTTACACCTTCACATCCCTCGTAGACATATGACTTGATGAGTCTGCAAGAGTCTATCACTTTCTGTTTTCCTTCATGAAAAGGCAATGTAGTGGCCTGAAGTTAGTGGAGAATTGCCCCGGGGCGTCCATTCAAGCCTGTCACATCAGGGAATTTATAGATTTGTCTTTAGTGTTGCACCTTCAGTGGAGATTGGACCGATGAGTCAAATAGTGGTTGAATTTAACGGCTGTATTTACATGTTCTAAAGGAGGAGAGGACTCTGCAGGGGTTCCAAAGAGACTAAAGGAGATTATTTTTCTACCCCCAATGGTTGTTGCTGCTTTCAAGCTTTTTGGAATCCAGGGAGTGTGGCTCCCTGGGTGAGCAGGCCTCTGAGTGGTGTGTCAGGGTCCCCTTTCCCCAGCAGTGGGGCTATTGTAAGCACTCACACAAAACCACCTGCAAGATTGGGAAGGAGGCAGGATGGGGAGGAGGGTGGAGGAGATTTGTTTTAATTTCCACTGGCTTGTGTCTCTTTTGGCACTCCAGCAAATGTGAAATGGAATGTGATTCATTATCTGTTCAAGGTCTCCTCAGTCCATTGTAGAAGATATTCATCAAGGAAAGATTGAGCATTATGGATCAGAGACACTACGAGAATTTCTTAAGCTTTTACCAGAGTCTGAAGAGGTAAGGAATTTGGCGCATGAGTTTTGGGTGTTAGGAGTGATCATAAAAGTTTAATATTTTTAGAAGTATCAAAACTCACCTGGAAAGGATAATCTCCTACCCAGAGCCAGAGTTCTCACACATAAAAGTAAAAAGTGCCCTAGCAGAAAAGGCATGGGTTATGGAATCAGAGAATCTAAGTTCAAATTCAAGCTGTATTCTTAATTGAGAAACTTGGACAAGGTTCTTAACTCCTGTGAACTTTAGTTTTCTCACTTGTAAAAGGAGGATAATGATGCTTACCTCATGGGATTGTCAAGATGATTAAACCCTAGTTATGTGTCTAACATGGTTCTTAGCACGCAGGAGCTCAACATCTTTTAGTTTCCTTTTCTAGCGTCTAAAGTTGACCTTCACCTGGGTTCTTCAATAATACATAGAGTTTTTTTTAAAAAAAATAAAATTAAAACCATTTTTGAGTAAGGATGCCCTCAAAATTTGGGGAGGTGGGTAAGTTGCTAATAAATGTTGTCTACGTAATGAACTTAAAGGTGGACATTGTTGTGGTAGCAATATATTACCATAATCTAGGTTCTTTGTTTTGTTTGGACTCAATTAATTGAATAGTTGAATGGTTAATAGCATGAATATCTTGATAGGAGAAAAACAGAATAATAGTTATTAAAATCCTTCCAAATATGGGATATTGTCCTTTATGTCTGGAAAAAAAATTGCTTGAAAAAATTTAATAGGAAATAACATGAATGCACATGCTTGTACACATTTAAATAATACAGAATCTGATTAATTTTTTTACTTTATAAGTAAGAGCAAAGGGTGCCTTCTTATATAAGTTATCCTCCTCACACTTCTGAAACCTCCCTCCCCTTCCCACTCTTCTTCCCACACATAATTTATAAAACTTGACTTTAGTGCCATTAATAACAACAAGGGAGTTATATTTATACCTTTTCTTTTACATTGACTAATGTTAAACTCACAATGCCAATTTTAGGATCTTAGTAACTAGAGACTCTGGTTTTATCTGGGTATATCTAAAAACCTGGAGTGCTCTCTCTATCTCAAGTTTTCTGTTTGCAAATTAAGTATAATTAGCCTAAGCCAAGATTAATTAATGGCAATTATTAATGTTAGTGAAGGATTTTAAAGTCTTAAAGGAAAGCTACATTAAATTGTAAATTACCCTGGATCAAGCAAACTGGACAGACCTCAATCATTCTGTTATATAAAGAATGGGAGTTCCACGGTGCTTGTGACGATGGATAGGTTTTTTTTTTTTTTTGAGACAGAGCCTCAAGCTGTCCCCCTAGGTAGAGTGCCATGGCATTACAGCTCATAGCAACCTCCAACTCCTGGGCTCAAGCGAGTCTCCTGCCTCCACCTCCCAAGTAGCTGGGACTACAGGCACCCGCCACAACGCCCGGCTATTTTTTGGTTGCAACCGTCATTGTTGTTTGGCGGGTCCGGGCTGGGGATTCGAACCCGCCACCTTAGGTGTACGTGGCTGGCGCCTTAGCCGGTTGAGCTATAGGCGCTGAGCCGATAGGTTTTAATTCATTAGAATTTTTATAATATTTCCTTGCTTTTGAAACTTTATTCCTGCTCCAGCTGTTTTCATCACTCCTCCTTAGGACAGCTCAGCATACCTAATCCTAACTGACCTCATTTTTTTTTTAAGTAAGGATCAAATTTGATAGCCCCTGTGAAAGTGCTCAGAAAAGCTCTAAATTGCTAACAGAATGAAAGTTAGGCATGAGAGAGGCTGTCTAAGAGGTGGGAAGCTGAACAGGATGTTCTTAATATCTTCATTTTTCATTTAAAAACGTGCTTAAAAAATGCAAAGGGGGCTGTGGCTCAAAGGGGTAAGGCGCCAACCCCATATGCTGGAGGTGGCGGGTTCAAACCCACCCCCGGCCAAAAACCGCAAAAAGAAAAAAAGAAAATGCAAAGGGATTTTTCAGAGAATCAAGTTAGCTGTAGAATCTCAGGTTTTAAAGAATTCTGGGAGGTGAGAGGGTGTTGTATGTGGGATATAATTGAAGAGGAAGAATGTAAGGGACAAGATGACAGAAACCCATCGTGCCCTAAGGCTGTCTCCCTCAGGGCAGTTGGCTAACTGGGGCATGGGTCTTGCTGATAGGACCCTGTAATGCCTTCCCAGCCACCAAACCAGGCCCTCGCTGCTGCAGGGCCCCCTCCCCCTCCTGCTGCAGGCCATCCTCAGCCTGAATATCTGACCAGTTTGCTCACACTCATTCTCCGTGTTTACATTACTGACTCCAGGCTTCAGTTCACCACACCCTCCAAACTCAACTGGGAGCTTCCTTCTGCAGGAACACCCTGACAGTCCCAGCAGCTGCTTGGAGCCCCTCCCTGAATGCTCTGGGGTAGCTGTGCTTATGGGAGGGTGTTTCAGGGAAAGCCAAAGCCACCTCAGGACTGACGCCTGCTGCAAGAACAGATTGGGTTCACCGTGAATGCTTTGTGGCCCCTGGCACAATCTGGACCCAGGGCCAACCCTGGAGTCTCTGAGTCTCTGGATGCAGGCTGTAGAATGGGGATGAAGCAAAGGAGAAGGCAGGGCCAAGCGAGAGAGGTTAGGAATGTGGCAGAAATATGTTAATGCTAATGGATGCTGGGGTGCCTACGTAACTACTTGTTGCTAAGCCTGAGGTGGAACACTGGACGCTCCTTTTTAGCACCAGTAAGGACCAACCATTGAGTGCCCCCTGTGCCAGGAAGGTGGCATGAAGTGAGATGAGATGAGATAATATATGCTTAGCCTAGAGCCGGGCACACAGAAAGTCAATAAATCATAGCAGTGATTTATTTTATTTTTTGCAGTTTTCGGCCGGGGCTGGGTTTAAAGCAGCCACCTCTGGTATATGGGGCCGGCGCCCTACTCCTTTGAGCCACAGGCACCGCCCAAGGGATTCCTCATTTTAGAAATGAGAAACTGAGGCCCACACAGGTTAGCCATAACCTTCCTGGAGTCACATGATTGTGGGCTGACAGAGGATGGGGTGTACTTGGACCCTGACCCCACTGGCCTTGCGGAGGCTCGGGCTTTCTGAGGCACTCCACTGCCTCTCTCGGAGGAAGGAAAGGCAAAGGTTGTCAAAACCTTGCCTCACACCACTCACCTCCCAGCCTTTTCATCACCTCTGCTATCTCAAAGTACTGGTATAAGTGTCACTTGAATGATACTATAATCTTATCATGGTGCTGAAAAATATGAACGGAAACGGCCTCTTTTTTCTCCTGCCCTCTCAGCTGACAAGCTGACCTAAGCCAAGGTTGTCAGGAGTTTCTCTGCCCTCTGCTGCAAATCTTTTATCTGGCATGTTTGTTCATCTTTCTTCAAATGTGTGGTTAACACTTGCAAAGGAAGAAGGTGGGCCCAGAAATGAAATCCCCCGAGTGTGCTCTTATCCAACACAGAGTTCCCGTGCTGGAGGGTGGGGAGGAGCCAGGGAGCCCCCACCCAACCTGCAGGTTCCTGATCTCCTGTCTAGAGGTGGTAGAAACTGTTCTCTCTGGAAGCAGGTTGAGTTGCCCCTGTCTTCTTACCTCTTTCCTGTCTTCTTCCTTTACTCTGTGGCCTGGAGGGGCAAAACAGGGAGGAAGCCCATGGGTGTCCTGCTGGGTGGCTGTGTTTGTGGGAAATCCTGCCATTTGAAGGCCGTGTGACTGGAATTAGATAGGATGAAGGAGGCCTGCCCTTTGGAATGTGTGCATCTCAAGGAGCATGCTATTACTCCATGATGACAGAAACCCAGCACAGCCAGGGTCATAATGAGTGTCTCTTGGCTCAGCCAACAAAATTATGCCTAACAATGTTTAATAAATGCTTTTTGATAATGACAGTGAGAATGCACAATAATTACAGGGTTTGTTCACCTCTCTTTTTTACCTTCCTTACCACTGTGAAGGTACAGTAATCCCTCTTAATGAACATAAATCTCATTTTGAAATACAACGAACTGTATACATGGCATTTAAATTAAATGGTCTTTCCACGACCCTTCTCTTGAAATCCATAAACATTTTTAGGCTTTTAGATAAGTGAAGGAGATTAATCTTTGCTCCCTTACAGTTCAGCACCTGTTTAATAGAAATATTTCCCAAGTTTACTCAGCTAGCATGACTTGTTCTGAAGCTTTAGACTGAAAACTGCTATTATTTTCAGAAGCGTTGCACATGCTACATGCATGCTTTTATAACAGGCACGACTTCGCTCTACCCCTTCCCATATAGAGTGAATTGTTTTTTTGTTTGGTTTTTTTTTTTTTTTTTTTGAGACAGAGCCTCAAGCTGTCCCCCTGGGTAGAGTGCTATGGCATCACAGCTCACAGCAACCTCCAACTCCTGGGCTCAAGCGAGTCTCCTGCCTCAGCCTCCCAAGTAGCTGGGACCACAGGCGCCCGTCACAACGCCCAGCTATTTTTTGGTTGCAGCCATCATTGTTGTTTGGTGGGCCCGGGCTGGATTCGAACCCACCACCTTAGGTGTATGTGGCTGGCGCCTTAGCCACTTGAGCCACAGGCACCGAGCCAGAGTGAATTGTTAAACTCTAGCTTAGAAGGACCCAGAATTCACCCTGTAGGTTTCTCTGTTGAGAAATCGGGCACTGATTTGGGTTTAGCTAAACTAAAAGTGCCTTATGTCCTTAAGTTTAGTGAGGCAAAAACTGATAAATTCATTTGGGGGCTCAAATGGTAGGAGAAATGTAGTTTCTGCCCTTTAAAAAAAAAAGAAAGAAAGAGAAGAAAACAGTCTTAAGAATCATACTTGGGGGTGGCGCCTGTGGCTCAAAGGGGTAAGGCACTGGCCCCATATGCTGAACGTGGTGGGTTCAAACCCAGCCCTGGCCAAAAACTGCAAAAAAAAAGAATCATACTTAATACCAGGGTGTGAATTTGTACCGTTGTACTTTGTTTTTTATATTTTCTTTTTTTTTTTTGAGACAGAGTCTCAAGCTGTCCCCCTGGGCAGAGTGCTGTGGCATTACAGCTCACAGCAACCTTCAACTCCTGGGCTCAAGCGAGTCCTCTGCCTCAGCCTCCCAAGTAGCTGGGACCACAGGCACCCACCACAACGCCCGGCCATACTTTGGTTGCAGCCGTCATTGTTATTTGACGGGCCAGGGTTGGATTCGAACCTGCCACCCTAGGTATATGGGGCTGGTGCCCTAGCCACTTGAGCCACAGGCACTGAGCCTGTTTTTTATATTTTCAAATAATTGAGGTAGTTTGTGGATCTTTGCAAATATTCCTTTCTTTATGTTTTCGAACTGTCATTTCCTGTTTTTCAAGGGACTTAAAATCATGTTAGTAATCATAACCCAGTGGGAGAAGAAAGTGGGTTTTGCAAAGGATGATAAAAAATGGTAAGTACTTACTGGCAACAATTAGCTGCAAAGATAGGCTGGATACTTCACTGATAGTATAAAAGTAGTACTTACCAGAAAGAATTTTGTGGGATGCCTCTCCATTAACTGTTGACTTAGAAGTGGTTTTGCCATTGGATTAGTCCAGTTGGCTGTGTGGGGAATGCACGATTTATCACCTAATGCTATCTGAGAACTTCCTTGTCCTCTCTGTCCCCTACCTGCTAGCTATTTGGCTATTTAACTATGTCAGAACTCATTTTTTTTCCTTTACAAAAGTTGAAGAAATATTTATGTGTCTGAAGCTTAGTTTATTTTACTTTTTTTTATAAGAGTAATACATGTTCCTCATAGATATTGCAAGAAATAAAAATGAGCAGCAGAAGAAAATAGTGATCCTGGTAGTACGGACACCCAGTGTGAAGGAGGCCTTTAAAAAGAAAAATTATAGAAATAGGATCCTATTGTGAACATACATATTATCTAGTCTTTTCATAGAGGGAAATCTTTTTTTCTTCCTGCTGGAGAGCCAGTAAGTATTCACCTGAACATGCTTCAGTCATTTCCTACAAAGCACAAATAAGTGGGTCATTATGAAAGTTTTGAGAACTGTAAAATCCATGTAGATGGAAACAAATGAAGCCTCCCACCAACACGGATAAGCCAAGCAAGTTGAAACTTACACAGAAGAATCAGAAAGGACTGTGTTTCTTGGAAATGAAATAAGGGACCGTGACACAGTCTGTCTCAAAACTTTTGTAGTGACTCACATATATGAAGTGGAATTTGACCACAGAAAGATCTGTACTAGACCTTGCCCACTCCAAGGATTTTACATCCGAAATACTTAAAGTAAGTTTTTGGGGGCATAGGACTTAAAGGCCCATATTATAATGACTATCCGGTCTCTTCTTTCTTCTCCCAAACAATGACCTCGCTTACAGATTATTGCTTACAGAAAATTTTCATCCTTAAAACTGATCCCTTTTTAGTCCCTCCCTTTGATAACCTTCCCTAGGATTCTAGTGGCTCCAATTCTCTGGCTTGTCCAGGACATGTGACACCAACCCTTCACTTTCAGATTTGTGAGTTTCACTTTTTTCTTATAAAAAAACAAAGTAGTAGGTGGGATGATTTCCTGTTCTTTCTTTTCCTAGGTATACACTTTTATTCATTTGGATTTAGCACTGAAATCACGTGTTCTTAGAAGAATCCTAGGATAAAATTAAAAATCTTAATCATAAGTAATTTGGTTCTCTGCCTCTTTTTCTATTTGTCTTTTAGGTAAAGAAATTAAAAACATTTAGTGGAGATGTGTCCAAGCTGTCCCTGGCTGACTCCTTTTTGCACTGCTTAATTCAGGTGCCAAAGTAAGGATACAGTCACTGATTATTGCTCTTTTTAGAGTAAGATTTATAAACTAATGACATTCAATTCTATAGCTTTACTCTTTATTTTTCAGCTATTCACTTCGGATTGAAGCCATGGTGCTGAAGAAGGAGTTTTTACCTTCTTGTTCTTCTCTATACACAGATATAACAATTTTAAGAACTGCTATAAAAGGTACATAAACACCTTCATACAGCTTGTTTTCATTAATTTTGAGAGCAGTTTACTTTTGTAAAAATTCAGTTGCGATTGGAAATGGAAAGTCCCGAATTTCTGATACACCCTAAAAAGGGAAATGAAATGCAGCTAGCGATACATTAAGATTTATTTCCATTTGCTTCTCCCCACCCCCCTGAGTGAATATTGATTTGCGTATTATCCTCCCATGAAAGGAAGGCTAAAGTAAAGTACTCTCAAGCTGCAGAGTAAAACTTTCTGGTTGCACCTCACTCTTGTTCCTCTCTGTATATGTGTCTGCGAGGTATGTAGAGTGTGTGTCTGTGTGTGGTGTGTGTTTGTAGCATGTAGCGTCTGTGTGTGTGGTGTATAGTGTTTTTTGTGTGTGTGTGTCTCTGTGTGTATCACAAAGCCTGGGCCCCAGAGCCGGCTGCCTCTCCTCCCTGCTCTGGCCTCCCTTGGTGACTGGCACCCTGCTGTTCCAGAAGCCGAACCCTTGCCAGGCCTCAGTGGTGTGATTCTTCCACCAGAGTTCCTGACCTTCCTGTTGTGTGGTGTTTTCTCCCACCCACCTCTCTAGACTTCCAATTTCTGGTGGGCTGTTTAAGCTTGAGAGGGGCAAGTTGGTCATTTTCTTCTTCTTTTTTTTTTTTTCTTTCTGTTTTTTTGAGACAGAGTCCCACTTTGTTGTCCTCAGTAGAGTACAGGGACATCATACCTCACAGCAACCTCAGACTCCTGGGCTCAAACAATTCTCTTGCCTCAGCCTCCAGAGTAGCTGGGACTATAGGTGCCCACCACAACGCCTGGCTATTTTTACAGGCAGGGTCTCACTCTAGCTCAGGCTGGTCTTGAACTTGTGAGCTGAGGTGATCCGCCTGCCTTGGCTTCCCAGAGAGCTGGGATTGCAGGCATGAGCCACTATGCCTGGCCCAAGTTGGTTATTTTCATTTCTTTAAACAACCTTTAAATTGTTGCCTGCCTCGCTTGGACAGACACCACTCGGGGTCACTCTGACGTCTCCTTCTTCGGGGACAGGCGCTTTGGTTTCTGGTGTTCCTGTCACTGTAGGTCCGGCAGAGTTGCAGCTGCCTCCTCCACATCTCCCAGGCAAATTCTCTGGCTCTCCTTGACCCTCACATTTTCCAGCATCCATCAGTGCCAGCCTGATTTCCTTTTGCTCATTTTCTGGATTTCTGGTTATTGTTGTAGAACTGTTTATTCCTATTTGGTTTTCCTGTTTAGTTACTCTGGCCTGTATTGAGATAATATTTTTCCCTTCAACCCATCACATTTTCTGCCTTGTAGAGAGCGGACTAAAAAAAGAATTTTTTTTTTATTTTGTTACAGAGGCCTTTTAAAATTTTTCCCATACTAAGGCTATTGCAGCAACTTTGGAAAGACTGTTCTGGAAGAATATGTTTTCATATTGAGTAATGCAAATTTGTGGGCTCGGTGGAAATGTTTCTTATCTGGTTACCCATCCAAAACTGGCCTTCTTAGATAACATAATATAGGCAGCGGTCCAGATGTTAATTTTCTGAAAGTAATACCAGACTTAATGGAGAATAATAACTTAAAAATATCATAGGTGACGTTTTACTATCTATATATAGTGTAATTTTAATAAGCAGGCTTTCTTTTTAGCTTTTCAAATATATGAAAAAGTTTTAAATTTTGTTTCTTTGCATAAGCGTGCAAAAGATTGGTGCTAACAGAGAACTGGTTTACCAATATATTCCAGCTATCAATTTCTTTTTAAAACCTTCAGCCAATCCAAATGAACTGTGTAGCTTTGAATAAAATGGAAAATATCTCTGGGTGCCTGAGCCCTCAGGCTTGGAGCTTTGCAAGTTATTTACATGACATCCCACCTTGTTTGTTTTTTTTTTAATCTCTTCCTAACTCATCAGCCAAGCAAAATGTTGCTTGCTATTAGTTTTCATATTGCATAAATACAATCTCAAAGGCTGGTGGGCATAAAGAAAAAATGAGAGCCATAACTGCTGAAAAGTTAACTTCTATAACACATGAGGCTTTTGCATTTTCTACTACTTGAAAATTTTCCTTATGAACTATTGTGTGATATTTAACTGTCAGATAAATTTGATTCCCAGTTAAACACTACAACATTCCCAGTGGCAAATGGTGTGTTAGGTATACATAGAAGGTGCTGCTTTGTTTTTTCAGCCTTTATGTACAGTTCAGGGTCAGAATTTGCTTCAGACACATTTGAACTTGCATTTGGTAGCTGCATTCTGTGCATTTGAAGCTGAAGGCTTCTCTGAGGTGGTGTGGTGTTTTCTTTTGACAGAGCTGATGTCCTGTGAGGAGCTACATTCGATATTGCACTTGGTGCTCCAGGCTGGGAATATCATGAATGCAGTAAGTGAAATTCAGAAGAATCCAAATGTTGTATTTTCAACTTTGTCTGTCTACATATACGTATACATGTTCTTTTCTTGATTTGTCTTCTTTAGGGAGGGTATGCTGGCAATGCAGTAGGATTTAAACTGTCTTCTTTGCTCAAATTGGCAGACACAAAAGCAAATAAACCTGGGATGGATCTTCTGCACTTTGTTGCACAGGTATGTGGAAGTGATTAATATAGGAAAAGAGTGTGTGTGTGTGTGTGTCCCCCTGGGAGGAGGTGAAGTTTTTCCTAGGCATGAGGTGGTATCAAACAGAGTTAGGAAAGGGCATGCCAGTTCCGAGAAGGTTGTTTGCAGAAGCACCATTTGTAGAGTCCAGAGATGAACTGTACCTAGAGTTATAGGGCTGCAAGCAAGTGGGGGGAGTGAGGCAGAGAGGCCAGTGTAGCTGGTTACAAAGGATTCAGATGTCAAAGGTGGGGAATTTGGATTTCATGCTTTAGCAGTGGGGGGCCAACAGAAGTTTGCGCACAGCATAATGGAATGACAGGGGTTTTTTGTTTTTGCTTTTGGGAAAATAAGGCACTGTGGAGGCCTAACTGGAGTGGAAAGATAATTAGAAATAGGGACATGTCTTGGTGAAAGTTGGCAGCAATTATTTGGTGAAAGTTGAGGAAGGTAATGGCCATAGGAACAGAGTAGAGGGCTGGGTGCTAAAGCATTTCCTGTGTGGAACTGACTAGATATGATACCAGGTATGTGTAGAAAGATCACTTTCTTCCTTTTTTTTTTCCTCTGAACAGTATGTCTGAGCACCATGCTAGCACGGGGCTTGAGGTCTGCATCTATCCATTTGTCCCTTTCTTTCTTTCTTTCTTTTTCAGACAGAGTCTCTCTCTGTCACCCTGTATAGAGTGCTGTAGTATCATAGCTCATAGCAACTTCTTGGACTCAAGCGATCCTTTTGTTCAGACTAGCCTTTTTTTTTGAGACAGAGTTTCACTGTGTTACCCTCGGTATAGTGCTGTGGCATCACAGCTCACAGCAACCTCAAATTATTGGGCTTAAGCAATTCTCTTGCCTCAGCCTCCTGAGTAGCTGGACTATAGGAGCCCGCCACAATGCCCAGCTTTGTTGTTGTTGTTGTTGTTGTAGTTGTCATTGTTTAGCAGGCCCAGGCTGGGCTCAGACCCTCCAGCCTCAGTGTATGTGACCAGTGCCCTACTCACTGAGCTACAGGTGCTGAGCCAAAGTTCAGGCTAGTCTTGAACTCCTGAGCTCAGGCGATCTACCTGCCTGTCTTGGCCTCCTAGAGTGAGTGCTAGGATTACGGGTGTCCGCCACAGCCCCCAGCCCCTTTGTTCCTTTCTTGACTGGGACTTTGTAACACAAAAATAGCTAGGTACTAAGTGAAAAATCAGCCAAGGACAGTTATCTCCTTTGTTGTTAAATGATCTCAGCTAATTGTACTGATTTGCTTTTTCTCCATTGAATTGCCCTGTTGTTTTGACATCAGTGATATACATGTAGCTTTAACCTGGGGAGGAAGCAGCGTTGCATGTTTGTTTTGAATGTGAACTTCAGAACAGGGCAGGACTGGAGATTTTGACTATGCTTTACAAGGTGTACTTCCTCAGACAAGTTACTTGAGCCTAAGACCTTCAATTTCTTCATCTAATGATGAGAGTAGTGATAACTTACTTCAAAACCAGGTAATTGAGAGGGCTTGGTTCAATGTTTCCAGTATAGTAAGCGTTCCATAAATGATACACACTATTGTTACCATATTCTTCTGAACACAGAGGGTTGTGTTTAATTTGGTGCTTGATTGGAAAGTTAATTTTCAGGACATTAAAAGAAAATGCATTCCTTACTCAGCATGGATTACAGCTAGTATTCTGGCAGTACTGGCCTAGATCCACGTGTCCAAGTGCTCTTCATAACTTGGTCCCTGCCCATGTGGGGAAATTTCCTAAGTCAGTAATTGCTCCTTCCCACCTGCCTTCCTCTTGCCCTCTGAACAGGTGAAGGAAGAATCCAGACACCTCCATGGCTTGTGTACCTTCTGATTAAACTCAGTTTGCAAACTGGTTTAACAGCTGAAGGTATCTCACTCATTTAAAGGCGTACTCATAGGTATGGGTGGTATTTCAGCAGGATATATTGGATTCTCCTAGAAACAATGGGCCCTATAAGCTGCCACCTCCTTCTATTGAGTTGTAATGCACTCGAATTGTATTGCATGTCAAGATTAATTGCCCTGGGAAGATAAATGTATCTTGAGAGGAGAGGAGTTCTGGTAAATCTTACTAAGAATATCAGAGTTCACATCTATGAATTGCTTTGAATGTATCAAATTTTAAAAACAGGAGCAGAGATTTTAAGTTTCCTTTAAGCCCCAAGAAATTTATTTCCTTCTAATTTTATTCATATAGTGAGAGAAAATTCTGTTTTTGTTCCAGGAAGCCCAAAAGAAAGATGCCATTCTTCTAACGTTTTCAGAAAAATTACATCATGTTCAGGAGGCTGCTAGGTAAGCAGGGAAGGCTGGAAGCGAATTATGAGAATTTAAGATTTTTTTTTTTAAACTACATTCTTATGAAAACTGATGAATAGTTACAACTGTTGGATTTCAGTTCGAACTTTAAAAGGTTTTGTCTCTTTGAACTTTCAGCTTTCTTTTTCATTTGCTCAAGAGATGTGTGTGTGCTCCTTTGGAATTTAGGGGTTTTTAACTAAAATAAAAAACATTTTTAGTCTATTCTACTAAATATCAGTGTAAAAAAATACGAGTTAAGAATGTCAAATTCCTCCACACTCAAAAGACAGAGCTAAAACAACACAGCCTATTACCTTGGGAGTTAGTGTATATCAATCAAACATTCATGGCCCTACATTACAGTTTCCCTGTAGAATCTAACACAGTACATTTATTTTCTATTGCATTAGAAGGGACTTGAACCATACCAAGCGCTGCGAAAGGATTCTATTTTAAATTAGTCACTCAGCTTTACAAAGTATCTACCAAACACAAATCTCTCTTTACATCACTCTAATTTGCTTCTGATCTTAATATACATGTGTATTTTAGTGTAGCTATAATCTTTGTGTACGTGCTGTTTTGAGTTCTGTGTTTGTAAATTCACAATATATATCCATGCAGCCTGTAATAAATGATCAATAATCAGCTCTCTGAGAAAAAGTCCTGATTTGTAGCATTTGCTGATTTCCATGCCCTAAATAAGGCTACCATGGCTGATTTCAAGCTACCAATATTGCATTATTGAATGCGGAGTTGGAAAGAGGTGCCCACAATTGGCTGTCATGAGCTGGCTCAGCACACCACTTCATGTACCAACCCCGTTCATATCATGTACTTCTTTCAGTGGCTATATCCAGCTATGAACCATATGTATACAGACAAATGAACCATAGCACAGAGGCCTGTCACTGGCCAGTGGCTCAATGTTATCGACTCTGTGAACATCTGACCAGAGGTCACACGTCTTTTCTGAAGTGGGATTATCAGTTCTAAGGTGTAAACAGTTCATAATTCACGGTTACAGATCACTAGACATCTTAAAAGATATGAACTGTTTCATTTTTGAATTATTAAAGGAAATGTGTGTGGAAATACTTTGACTAGTATAGAAATGATACCAAAAATTATATAGAGAATTGACCATACATTTTCAAATTGGCATTTCTGGTCAGAGTTGGAAGTTTCGCTTAGGAAAACCCTATTCAGTAAGGTTTGTTTGAAATGGAAGGACAAATACACTTGTGATGTACAAACAAATCGCAGATGGGCACCAATGGAGTTGTAAAACTTTATAGCACAAAGAAAACTTAGAATCAGGCTTCGAGCCTGTGGTTCAAGTGGCTAAGGCACCAGCCACATACACCTAAGGTGGTGCATTCGAATCCAGCCCAGGCCTGCCAAAACAACAATGATGGCTGCAACCAAAAAATAGCTGGGCGCTGTGGTGGTCCCAGCTACTTAGGAGGACCTGTGGTCCCAGCCACTTGGGAGGCTGAGGCAGGAGACTCGCTTGAGCCCAGGAGTTGGAGGTTGCTGTGAGCTTTGATGCCACAGCACTCTACCCAGGGGGATAGCTTGAGGCTCTGTCTCAAAAAAAGAAAAGAAAGAAAAAAAAATTAGAATCAATAATGGAAATGGAAATTCAAACTAATTTATTCATTCCACCTGGATTTTAGGTTTCGCCTGCTCACTTTACCAGGTGACAAACCCATCATTCATGTACTGCTTTGATTTGATGTATAACAAAAGTATTGCCATTGATCCAACCATTAATTTGCAGAACTGTTATCTGTGGCAAACATCCGTGAAGTCAGCTTAGTATTTCCCCATTACCCCTAGAATCAAAATTATCAATGCACATTGCCTTGCTTCTTATGTGAGCTTAATATGTTTAGTGGCTGCAGGAAAGCATGCTTCTCCCAGAGTCCTGCTGGCTTTAGTTTGTAATACTTAATTGTATAAAGCTCTTCAGACCTATTTTATTTTACAAGTCAGATAGTTTTGGTATCGCATCTGTCAGAGCAAAGTTACAGAGCCTACTCACTTTGAACCAACGAATGTCTTTAGGAAGGAATTATCTCTTAAAAAGAAAAACAGGAGGAAAGGCACAGGATCTAAAAACAGGGGTAGGCGAAGTAATTGCGGTAGCTCTCCCTTCTGTTTCAAGGTTGACCAATAGTTGGCCTTGTTTGATGTACCCGTATGACACTGGGCTTCTTGGTACTAACTACCCCCTCTCTCCTTTCTTCTTCTAGATTATCTCTGGATAACACAGAGGCAGAGTTGCACTCACTGTTTGTCAGGACACGATCACTAAAGGAAAACATCCAGCGGGATGGTGAACTCTGTCAGCAGATGGAAGATTTCCTTCAGGTGTGTAGGCGATCCCAGTCGTCCCTCTAATCTCATCTTCCAGCAGAGCCTCTGAGGCTGGGTAGATTTGCAAGGATGTATTTTCAGAACCATCAGGTTCCCATTCCTGTCTTTCCCCAAGTTAGTAAAAGGAACTTTGTGTTTCAGGGCCCATTCTTTGCAGAGGAATTGAGTTTGATCTAAACATAAGACTTCTGTTTAGGGACTGGGCTTCTGTTCATCATAGCTCAGTTTGCATCATCACACTTCACTGTGGTGAAATGGTGTCAACTTTGGTGCTTACATTTGGACCATGAGATCAAACTTTCGAGTAGCAGAATGAAGTTCCACAGATGTCATTAAGACACCTTAGAACTTGGGCTGTCATTCCTTCACTCATTTATATTGGACAAATAAGCTGCGTTTGGCATGTTTTATAATGAGGACAGCAGAGCACGTGATAGCTATGCCTATTAACACCGGAACACATCAGGCCCACAGGGTGTGTCAGGAGCTGTGCCGAGTAGCATCAACAGAAAATAGCAGAGTGGACATGTTTGTGACAGCTCATTGTGACTCACTAATCATATAGTCTGACATACTTCTTTTATCTTCCTTATTTAAAAAAAAAGAAGTGGCACCATCTCATGTTAGTCTTCAGGGAAATGGTGTGCTACTACCTGAAGTGTTCGTGCTGTGAGACCTGCAAGGCAGAATCTGTGTGGTGGGGCTGCCCTTGGCACTGGGGAGAGATGGTATGTGCTCCCAATTCTGTGCCAGCCAAGCCTTCACTCATGAATTCAGCTATTCCAAAATATTATAAATTTTAGCTCACACTGGCAGACACTTGATTTTGTTTGGCTGTGCTGTGAATTTATTTTTATTATTAAATGCGTGCTCTGTATTTTCTTTTAAGTATAACCAAACTCACAGATTTTTCTCAAAGTACAAAAATAGCAAACACCACCATCACAAACATACTAAACAGTAAGCATGGTCAGATGCATAAAACAAATTCAAGAATAAGGACTCGCACACATCCAGATTAAAATTCTGGGTATTAATTACTAGTATCTAATACTAAAAATACAAAAAGGTTATCCTCACCTTTAGACTGCTCTTCAAAGGCAAGCAACCTTGTTTTATCTCTCTCTCTTCATTTTTTTTTTTTTTTTGAGACAGAATCTCAAGCTGTCACCCTGGGTAGAGTGCTATGGCATCGCAGCTCACAGCAACCTCCAACTCCTGGGCTTAAGCAATTCTCTTGCCTCAGCCTCCCAAGTAGCTGGGACTACAGGCACCCAGCACAACCCCAGCCTAGACTGGGTTCGAACCCACCAGCTCTGGTGTATCTGGCTGGTGCCCTAGCTACAGGCACCAAGCCTGTTTTATCTCTTTAAACTCATCTTTCTTTTAGTTATTTTTTCTTTTTGTAAATAAAATGTTCCACACAGCTATGTACTTTTCTTTCTTAAATTCAACCTCTTTTTGAATAGGTAGATGAGATAAAAATGTTCGAGGTATGTGAGGGCCATGCCATGTACTTCTTTGAATGCCACTCTGAACACTGGACTTTACACCATAAACAGGGAGACTCATTCAAGGCTTTTGAACAAAAAGATAGCAGAAACACATTTTTGCATATCTATTTCAATAGTGTGGCCCTTTGGGCAAGAAATAGTGAATCTGCTTAGAACTTTGGTTTGTAGCAGGCAAGTTAGAGATGTAAAGTTGGATTTGATACCACAACTCCTAACCTATTTTTATTCTTTTTTTTTTTTAGAGATCAGAGACCCTGAGTTGAGTGCCATGGTGTCATATAGCTCATAGCAACCTCAAACTCTTGAGCTTAAGCAGTCCTCTTACCTCAGCCTCCCAAATAGCTGGGACTACAGGTGCCTGCCACAACACCTGGCTAGTTTTCCTGTTTTTGTTAGGGCCAGGGTCTCACTTTGCTTAAGCTAGTCTTGAACTCCTGAGCTCAGGTGATCCACATGCTCCAGCTTCCCAGCATGCTAGAATTACAGGCATGAGCCACCAAGCCCTAGCCTAACCTGTTGTCATTCTTGCTTTGCCTGTGTAGTGTGGACTTTTTTATTTGTGACCCTAATCATGCAGAACTCATGGCAAATAACTTAGAGCATGATTATTTTTCAGATCCATGTTCTGAATATTTCACTTTCCCGAGTCTGAAGGGTGACTCCGGTAGTTGAAGTTTTTTCCTTCCTGGTATTCTGTCAGTCCCCACAGGATCTAGATAGGGGACATACGAGGTGGAGCTAAGCTTCCATTTAGATGCTTTCAAGAGGCCTGTTTTTTGCCAGTCAAGCTTTTCTTGGCTGGACTCCATCTTTCCCCCTGTGAAAGAATGACAGGCAAAGATTTATCCTTTCATTAATACCATTCTCTCCATAAAGAAAAATACATCATGAATGCACACACTGCCTTGGGCTACTGACTCAGATGGTTACTTTCCCTGGTATTTGGTTTCTTAAATAGTTTTGGTTTCCTACTACCTCTTGAATGTGTTTGGTTTAAGAAAAGGGCTTTTAAGGGGGAACGTGGGTTAGAGTGGGTAGGCGGTGGTGCCTTGTAGGTTCTGTAGCTCTCCAAGCATGCCCAAACAGCAGTCCCACTCTTGAAAGTGGACTTATGGCTTTACCATGTCCTAGGCTCATCCCCACTTCACAAATAAAAATGTTTGTCAAATATAAGCCCTTTTTTTTTTTTTTTTTAGAGACAGTCTCACTTTATCGCCCTCAGTAGTGCGCTGTGGTATCACAGCTCACAGCAACCTCCAACTCCTGGGCCTAAGCAATTCTCTTGCCTCAGCCTCCGGAGTAGGTGGGACTATAGGCACAAACCACAGTGCCTGGCACTTTTATTGTTGCACTTTGTCCGGTCTGAGTTTGAACCTGTCACCCTCAGTATAGGTGTCCAGAGCCCTAC